TTAGACCCTGTTCATACCAGACTTACATTTAGCGGTTTCAACCGGTTTTTCAAAAACCGGTTTTTATTTAACCTGGTGTGAACGCAAATTAACCGGTTTTTAGGGGTTTAAATCCGATTTTGAAAAACCACCTCGGGAGGTGGTTTTTGAGGGGTTTTTGTGGGGTTTTTCCACCGAAAAACCTGGTCTGAACGCTAAGGGTTTATTGAACCGGTTTTTGCGTCATAATTCCAGGGTCACGGGGTCAGCATCCTGACCATGTGCGACCTGCAAGCTTTTTTGATTGCGTTGTTTTGACCAACTTGAGTTCGTTTCCACTGTTTTTCGGTGGAATCAGCGATGGAATCAGCATAAGCAACCTGGTCTGCGGACGAGACGCTCCTGATACTTAGGTTTGGAGAGCAGGAGTCGCCGAATTCGAAAAAGCTGGGGGGGGGGCGCGGAGGGCGTCTACCGGAAACAAAAATAGTTGGAGGAGGCTGATTTCTTGAAGATAAAGGATCAGTGCCGCAGTAAGGTAAAAAAAAAAAACTGAAGACGGCATACAAGTAAGAAGGCCAAGCACAACAATCGGAAGAGCGGGAGGAACGGTTATTCAAACTGCAGTCATGGCCGATTAATTGGATATTCACCGGACAGGATTTTTTCAAAACCGGTTATCAAAAGTCTGGTATGAACGCTAAGGGTTTTAGCCGGGTTTTTGAAAAACCGGTTGAAACCGCTAAATGTAAGTCTGGTATGAACAGGGTCTTAGCTATTCAACTGTAAATGCAATGTACAGTACATGAACACAATTCAACTGTAATTTGTCATAGGCAAAGCCTTTCATACTATTGCACAGTCAACTAAGACAGTGTAATTGCTGATTTTTACTGTTTTCATGTTCACTTCTGTGCCATGAACTTATCATTAACTTTATAAACTCAATATGCCTTTGCCCCTCCCTCCAGCTTGAACACCGTGAAGATTAGGTTCCATGAACATGTCCATTTTCCTTAGGCCATAAAGTTAAGTGAATAACAGTATAATAGTATTAGGATGCAGGGAATGAGGAAATCAAATCTATGCAGGAACATCAATGATAGCCTGGTAAGTGGTAACCATCTTATAAACTGATTCATGGGTTGAACTAGCACGTCGGCAGAACGTACTGCACTGCGTGAAACCCGTAATGTATTGTACATAGCACTTCTGCAGAACGTCTCATATAATGTTGTATTCGCACATATAAGGTTAACATCCCGCCTGTAGTTCTCAAATGTTGTGTTGGAAAAAATATCCTCTGCAACAGGCAAAATTCTGATGCAACAGTGACCAAACATCCAACAAAAACCGCGAAAATCCAGGGTTCTGCGCAGGCACAGTACGTTCTGCCGACGTGCTGGTTGAACTGCGCATTCGCAATATGATGCACTGTGGGTAATGTCAAAGATGAAGACTAGTGATCCAGAATTCATAAAAGAGTTTAGAATTTTTCCATAATGTGAATAGTTTCTCTACAAGTCTGGAAATTATTACCATGACCACCAATTTATAATAAACTAGAAAGATAACATTTGCAAAGCAAATGCATAAAAAAAGGTTTACCTTCACAATCACATGGTCTAGCCTAACAAACTATTGCTCTGTTTATTCTTACTCAAACACATACATAATATACTAGGGTGACCAGCCCCTACATCTCTGTAGGGACTGCAATTGCTACATAATGTCATCCATCACTACAGAGTGTCTGCTACAGCACCGGCTACCATGGTGACAACTGTTCTGGTCCAGGTCTTTGACCTTTTGTGTTTGGAGAAGAAGAAACAGAGCAAAAGATGTAATTTTCACACCTGATTTCCATCTGATTCGGAATCTGAACAAACCCATATTTTGTTTCCAGAATTGCCATTCGAATTCTTAATACTTTTTATCATATTTTATCATATATCAATCATTGCCATATACAATTTGTACATGTATCAAGCAGGTTTTATGTTTCTGTGACTTCCAGTTCTCCATCTGCTTCCACAATTTCTATGTTGATGTCTTCTTCATCTTGGGGCTCATTCCCAGAGTGGGCAGCACCGTTACTGATCTCTGTCCCAGAGTCTCCATCCCCAATTGTGCTAGTTTGGTGTTCAGTGTCTCCTCTCCCATTCACTGTAAATTGATGACAATGAGTGGACTTTAGAAATTAGAGAAAAGATTTTAGGACAATAAATAACAAAACATGAATACATACATAATACATACATCAGAAAGACTTGCTGAGTTCAAATTTTTACCTGCACTAATCTGCATATGCAGGTGGTATTTCATAATTGCTAGGGAATGTCAATACACATACACATACACAAACACTCACTCACACACACATACATAGTACACAGACACACACACATACATACACAAATCAAAGTTTGGAGACAACAAGAATGGCTCTAGTTGTACATGACTACATGTATTGTTTGAATGTCCTTACCTTCCTGCTCTTCTAGAGTTTGCTGTTTCATTTTCTCGGCCAGTTCCTGTTCCTTGAGGAACTCAGCCTTCAGTGTTGTACAGATTTTCTTATGAGTGAACCAGTGGAGCTTCTGACATGCCTGGCCACAGTACTTCACCTGGGGGGAGGGGGGCAAAAAATTATTTTGATCCAGTTTACTGGCTCTGGTAGTGACGCTACTGTACAGTATTACAGGTTCATTTAAAAATTTTCAAGCTCTTTTTGACAAGTAGCCTCTATCAGGATTTGGAAGCAGCTGGATGTGTACTAAAGTCAAAGGCATCTGATGCAATTTCAGGGCCGCAAGACAAAAAATATTCCGGAGGAAAAAATCAGTATGCTATGGGATAAGGTTGATTCCACTTACTACATTAAAAGAATGACATGAAAATTTATCTAGTCTTGATGCTCTTAGATTAAATGGATCCCTTTTACAGTTACATACAATCAAACATGGAGGAATCATAAGGAACTGTACAGACCTTTTTGCAAGCAGAACATTTTTTCTCAGCCTGCAGGTCCCCGCATGTGTAGCACTGGTTCTCTGCAGCTGCACTCTGGTGGCCGTTAATGGCAGACACCAGGATGGACAGGGCCGTGGGGTCATCACCCTGCAGGGCAGACACAAGAACAAGAACCGTTTCACTAGCTGTAGTTTTCCTACCAATATTATAGTTTTTGCAGCAGTTGTCTGTTAGTACCTACCTACATGTACCTATCTACCTCATCCCTTGAACTTTTCCTTTTCATGGAGCCAGCCATCTTCAAAATTTAAGACAGTTTTAAACTCATTTACAACAATATCAATACACTATTCAACACACTGAAGTAGAAAAATTTCACAGTCTGAGAAAAATTGAAGCCGCAAAATTTATTATACAGGTACAATACCACAAAAAAAATCATCATTACTGTACTACATTGAAAGAATGACTTTGAAAATTGACTGAAAATCCAGTTTTATTGTGCTAAAATTGCATTGGATGTCTTTAAACAATGCAGTTAGATGCAAAGGTTAGTCAGGTGTGACAGGTTGTTCAATGTAATCTAATCAGTAGCCGCTACACTATGTGCATGTGAAGCTGGTGTGTTATGCTGAAAGTTGGTTATACCAGCTACATGTGTGCAGATGTAGATAGTACGTACCACTGTGACTGGAGCCACGTTGTGTACTATCTGTTGTAGCAGTTCACTCTCGTGGTATGGGAAACTGCGTATCGACAAGCGCAGGAACTTTTCTTGGGCAACCGGGAAGCCGTCTTTCTCCCTGCCTTTCAAGAAACTAGAAGGAAATAAGAAAATAGTCACTTCAGAAGGGAGAAGGTGTCACAACAAAATTTACCATGCATTCTGTACAAGTGGACACTAACAGCAAAACTTGAGAAAAGAATACAGACAACAGAAATTCAAGGTCTCTGGAAGAGTCTAGGGACCACATACAGAGACCTGCATCTCAAATAATGAAGTATAAAACAAAGCATAGTAAAACTGAAGTGGCCTTGTGTCATGGCCAGTGCGAATAGCCAAAATCATCATGCATGCAACAGTCCAGGGAGATAGAAAGTGGGGTTGGCAACAGAAAAGATGGGAGGATAACATCAGAGAATCGACCAGCACGACACTAAATTAAAAGGAGCAAAAAAACTGGAAAGAGTTGATAAAACTGGTTGTCAGATGGTCGGTTAATAAGACTAAGGGATAGATGAAATGTCATGAGAGATGCCCACATTGTTCCACTCACTATTTCATCAGGTTTTGCAGGGTGTCATTCTTCTCCACCAGCCACTTGTTTGCCTCGCGCAGTACACAGCCCTGGTAGTGCACCTTCATGGCCATGACCTCATTGGTCTCCGACTGCTTCATGAACTTGGTACACAAGGTGTCCAGTAGCCGGGCGATGGTCACTAGCTCATCCTGGGACTCCGGGTTCTCTTGGACATGGAGGATGATCTGAAATGGAAAGATTGGACTCTAAAAAATGTATACATTCATTTTCATGGTAGATTTTGGCAGTGTGTTAAGTTTGGGGTTAAAACAATTCTAAAGTACAGTAGCAGAGCATTGAAAATTCAGAAAAATGTGCCTAAGTTGCATAAATATGGTGTCTAAAAATGGTATTTTCCAGCATGACGCATTTTGAAATTTGTCTCTTAAAATACAGGAAAAGGCTTTTCGCAGCCCTGGGTTGAAAACTGATACTTTGCTGCCAAGGACATAGTACACAGTTTGATGCAGCAGGAATGTTGGTGTGTATGTATGGAGCACAGATCCTCTACCTTCACAGGGTTGAGGTTGGACATGAGGATGAGTTTGTGCACACAGTCAGCCAGGTTGGGTGGTAACTTGGGCTCCTTTTCTACACCTAAGGAGAGACAAAAAACACCACAAACATTTATCCAGAACTTTTCAGTCATTCTGTTCCCAAACTAACCAATTATATCAAAACAAAGCCTCAAGAGAATTCCTTCAATGTCTTTTACATGCAGATAAAATGTATGTTAATCCAGAAGATAAAATGATCATACAAGAGAGACAAGGTAAGAAACTTTTAATAAAATCTTGGTAGGAAAAGACTTACAACTATTTATGCCATACCTAAGCTACAATAACTTTCAATACAGGTGTCACTAGTGATAACTACTGGTATCACACAGGGTTCTATTTAGTTATCACAATATTGGGCTTCCAATGTTCAATGGAATAATTTGAACGTGTGCCGCTTTCAAAAATTCGAATACCGGATTTGGACATTTGAATTGATGTTGTTAGAATTTTTCGTTTAAGGACACCAAATTTTGGCACGTTTTGCATTAAATGTCTGTTTTCTCAGGTAGGTATGACATAAATAAAATACAACACGGTGTATTCCGCATCACCCTCCCATAGGTTGGATTGCCCTCCGACATTGGGTGATCCTGACCTTGGGTGATATGGAATTCACTGTGTAGTATTCTTTGACCCTGTTCATACCAGACTTACATTTAGCGGTTTCAACCGGTTTTTCAAAAACCCGGCTAAAACCCTTAGCGTTAACGTTCATACCAGACTTTTGATAACCGGTTTTGAAAAAATCCTGTCCGGTGAATATCCAATCGGCCATGACTGCAGTTTGAATAACCGTTCCTCCCGCTCTTCCGATTGTTGTCCTTGGCCTTCTTACTTGTATGCCGTCTTCAGTTGTTTTTTTTACCTTACTGCGGCACTGATCCTTTATCTTCAAGAAATCAGCCTCCTCCAACATTTTTGTTTCGGTAGAGCCCTCGCCGCCCCCCCCCCGCCCGCTTTTTTTCGAATTCGGCGACTCCGGCTCTCCAAACCTAAGTATAAGGAGCGTCTCGTCCGCCGACCAGGTTGCATATGCTGATTCCATCGCAGAATGAAGAGGAACCATGGAAAAACAGTGGAAACGAACTCAAATTGGTCAAAACAACGCGATCAAAAAAGCTTGCAGGTCGCACACGGTCAGGATGCTGACCCCGTGACCCCGGAATTACGACGCAAAAACCGGTTCAATAAACCCTTAGCGTTCAGACCAGGTTTTTCGGTGGAAAAACCCCTCAAAAACCCCTCAAAAACCACCTCCCGAGGTGGTTTTTCAAAATCGGATTTAAACCCCTAAAAAACCGGTTAATTTGCGTTCACACCAGGTTAAATAAAAACCGGTTTTTTAAAAACCGGTTGAAACCGCTAAATATAAGTCTGGTATGAACAGGGTNGTAGTATTCTTTATGTACACGTGTAGGTTTGCCATCTCACCCTGTGGCTTGGTGTAGTAGTCCAAGTCGTCCCTGGAGAAGAAGTTGTTGATAAGACTGACAACTGCATGTTGTCCTGGAGGAGGTGAGAAAAGAAAAAAACGACAAGCTTAAACAGGATAGTGCAGATTGGTGCAGGTAAAACCTGTCTGGTTCAGATAATTTCCAGAGCAGGTATGCAAAAAAAGTAGATTTTGAGCCCTGATTGCACAGGTTTGACTGTATGAGGGAGGATGGGTCTTACCTACGAATGCTGCCATCTGTGATGCTGTCCTTCCCACGGTGTTGACGGCGCTCGTCCGCGCTCCAGCCTCCAACATCAACCTGGTCACCTCAAGGTTACCTGAGGTCGGGTCAAAGGTCAACAGCATGCTGTTAGGATCCATGAGTTAGACTCATCGACAAACTGTACATCAGAGCCTTACCATCGGCATGCTAAGGGCGGCTCGGAATGCAGTGTCTGATTTGTATATACATTGTACATGTGTCTGATTTGTGTATACATTGTACATGTGTCTGATTTGTGTATACATTGTACACGTATAATTATAAACTCATGACAATAAACAGACGATGGAGATGGTCAAGTCACATATGTCACATGCCATAAAAACATAACAAGAACAGCTATAAGATGGATGCCTCAGGTCAGGAGACCAAAGGAAACATGGTGAAGAACTATCGAACAAGAAGTGCGGAGCCATGGTTTCACTGACATGACAAGGCACCAAAGATGGCCAGATGGAAGGGCTGGCTGAGAAGAGGATTAGGTAAGTAGTAAAATAAACAAAACTACCTGACAGAGCAGCAAACATGAGTGCTGTGTAGCCATGCTCGTGCTGGTTGGAGTTGACATCCGCTCCATTTTTCAGCAGGAACTGACAGATCTCTGTCTGTGCCTTGTAGGCTGCATGTTGCAGTGGAGTCATTCCATTCTGCAATACAATTGACAGTACATACATTGAGTACCAGAATTAAAAATTTATCTGGCATACCAAACACCCCCTACAGAGCCTTTAGCTTGTTGTGACAATGTACAAGTTCACAAGTACAAACCGTTTGGGCTCTGGAATATTTCAGCCCGAATTGTGTCAACATGTACAAACATGTCTGACTTCTGGTGAATACAAAAATGTGTGGCTATATGTACATGTACATACATACATGTCAACTACTCTCCGAGCAGAGATTTTGTCTGGGGCTTTTTTCTTTGAAAACACAGAATCATAGAAAAGGCCACAACAAAATTAAAGTAAGGTTTTCTTTTCATTTTTTTATGTACATTTTCTTCACTCTGATCATACTCACCTCATCTAGACAGTCCACTCTCACATTGTTCTTGCTCAGCAAAGTCTTCACTTGACTGATGTCTCCTGTAGTGTAAAACATGTTCAGACCAGCTGGTCTTTATACTGCCATTTAAGAGTAATGGGACCCTGATCTAGAGTAAAGTGCATCTGACATGTTACACCATGTAATGCATTCTGCTAAGAGGATGGTCTCTGACATAGCCCAGGGACAGAGTAATGTGTAAAACAAAGATAGGCAATTTAGGCAATTTGAACTTGTAATGGTGAGGCACCTAGGGTGCGTAGATGCGCAAATCAATTTGACACTTAGGGGTTGCATGCACCATAACTAGTACAAATTTTCAGGAATACATGTGATCCTAGGATTGTGTGTTTCGTAAAATATTCATATAAATTCCATAAAATTTGTATGAATGCTGTAAAATCCATATTAATTCTTTGCCACCCCTGATATAACTATTATGTATTTTACACAATACAAATGTGGATCCAAAGTTGTCACAGGATCTTCCTTTATAATAAATAATCTGGGTTTTCCATAATTTGTTGATGCAAATTATCCTTTTCTGCTTTTATCTAAACATGGAGGTAGAAGTTTTTTTTTTTCTACCTCCATGATCTAAGTCAAGAATGTTCTAGAGTTTTGAGGATAATGGGGGAAGGGCAATAATCTTTTAATTTTCTCCACGGAAACAGTTGATATCAGCACAAGTGTTAAGAAAACAAGCTCTTTCCTAAAGATTAAGTCTTAACATTCAATAAAGGAAGTTCAAAATCTCCTTGATTCAACTATGGTCATCACAGTTAGTAGACTAAGATTATGGAACATCCCCACAAATTTGGTCAGCTTAGTCAGGTGGCTCGCATCTTTAAGCCCCGGTTATTAAAAAACGCGGTCACCAAATGAAGTAAAACTACGTCAGCTGCACTAACATTCCTTTATCAAACGATTGATACTACAGTTGTTGATTTATCTCACCTGCGTTCACCTGCGCGATCAAATCTTTCTCGTCGTCGTTTAAATCTCCCTTCTTCGGCGCCATATTGGATATGTTTAGCGAAAGGGCATATGGGGTAATCAAGGGTCAAAAGGCGGTTCCAAGGACACCGGTTCTGAAGCTCTGGCATCTGGTAAAAGGGTCTATTGGGGGTAAATATAATTTAACGTTTTTGATACATTGTAAATAGCACGTTTCTGATAGCAGGTTTCTGATAATAGCAGGACGTGCTGTGTCTGTTTGAGTAACATGTATTGGGGGAAAGCACAAACAGAAACTGAAGGGAAAGACATTTGTATGTGTAAATAACCCCCCCCCCCACTGATAATTAAACGACCTTGGCCTATCTTTTAGCTTTGATATTAAACCTTGGTGCGAAAGGAACTTCAAAACAACGGATATTAAAGGCAAACCAGAAAACCCCTAGTACATCCCTTCGCATAACACATGTTGTGTTCACATGGGACACAAATCAGCTGCCAGTCACCTCCCAACGCGAACTGGCGATTATGAAAGTTAAAGCAATTTTAAACACAAAGGGAGGTTTAAAATGAGAAAAACCTCCTTGGCAGAACCGTAAGGATAATGGAAAAAGAAAGGAGGATATTTAAAGTTATAAACACAGAAAATAGAGTGATTGATAAATTTAAAAGATATGAAGAAGAAAAATTCGTGAAATTCAATCAAACAAACAGTGAAGAATTGCAGTTGTATTTTTTTCTTCACTTTTATTTATTGAATTTATTTCTTTACCTAGACTAGAGATTTATAATCTTGGGACAGGAATTCACCCTAGTCAGTGATGGACTTCACTAGAAATTTCCCATGGTGCAGTAGTATTTTCCCGCTTCGTGCCGTGTGCAAAACGTTAGTCACGTTTAGTCCAGGTTTGTCATAGTTTGTGTGACAAAGAAGAAACACTGGTAAGTCTGGGTCGAAATTCCTTGAAATATTCACATTTTTACCCCCAGCACAAAGGTTTAACGTGTTCCTCTCAAAGTAGGTGTTGTAATAATTTTCTCGGTGGGCCAGCATTTTATTTTGGTGGGTAAAATCGGTCGATATCTTGGCGAGTCGAACGGCAAGCATGCGTTTAGCCGGAAGTCTTTTTTTCCGCGCGCCTGTAGTTACAGATACTGCTTGGAAAAATGAATGAACTCTGTTAGCCTGGAGGTAGAAACTTTGTTGTAAGAAAGAAGAATGTGAAGAAGGTATCTTCTGGAAAAGAAGATGTGAGCGGTTAGCAAAATGCTACTCTTTTTGTCGTGCAAGACGATGCCGCACTAGCAGCTTGTGGTGGCTAGCTCCATTTTTTTTTTCGTGACTGTTTCATTGTAAACAAATTCGCAAATTTTCTAATTTTCCACTCAATTCCCTTTCTTTGTTTGCCGATATGGAATCTTAAATTGTATCTTTTGGTTGTTTTGATTGAAGCTAAAAAGTTTCTCAGTTGAAAAATTCAAGCCAAGCATGAGGCCAAGCCAAATGATTTTTGAATGGGGGAGGGTGGCGGTATGAGAGACGCATCTAGAAATAAAATAATAAATTTATCGGCCGAATATCCCAAGTTCTTTCTCCAAATCTTAGTTTTATAGAAAGGAAATATTGAAGATCCAAATCTGTATTGATACGTCATCTTAAGGACGACTTTCCTAGTTATTTAAGCCTGAAGTTTTGATTGAGTTTTCTATCTTATCTAACATGTGAACACAAGCAAATGCTATTAACGTTATATAAGTAAATCATTTTTTGCTATTCAGAACATTTAAGCAAAGGAATGAATTACAGTTAACGTCTTTTCTAAGAAGATATGTAAATTTCTCAAAAGAAAAGTAAATTTCTCACCGTATTCTCAAGTCAAGGTATTCTCAAGGTAAGAAATGTCAGAAATTTAAGATTGTTAATAAAAATTATTAAATGGTTGTCAGCAGTTACTTGTGAGACCCTCCTATTACAGTGTAGTTGCATGTATGACAGCTGTCCATTTGTTCTTGCAGCAAGAATTTTTATGAGTCAGAAGCAGCCCAAGCCAACGCTCGGCGGTCAAAAGATCCGGACCAGAAAACGGGGTAGGTACACATGGCAGGCGGGTTTCTCACCAGTATTTTCTCACTGTGTAGGGTTTAGGTACAGAAGGACAACTAACTTTCCATGGTGCAAACTTTGCATCAAGCCTCAAAGACATGACCTCACATTAGGGAGTCTGGTGTTCTCATATTATGAGCCATATCCCTCTGCTGCTTTTGTCAAAGATTTATGTAGGGTCAAAAGGTTCTTCCCAGGAAGTTCCCCTACGCAAGGGGCTCCTAAACTCAAATAGTCTGGTTAGAAATATGATGGTAACAGAATTAAGGGCTTATTATTAAACTGCACTAGATGGGTGGTCAGATTGGTGTTCTAGTTGTTACCAGGGCACATGTACAGTGTCTGTCAGTGTGCCTGACTTCAGTCCCTATTGAAGCTGGGTTTGTGCGATGTGCCAGAGAACAGTGCATGTTGTACTGCCTGGTGCCCCCCTCCCCCTGGATCACCAGGCTATCAAAACATGCTACAGTTTTAGAACTTTGGAGATTGGAGTCTTTCAAAGTCAAACATCTTGGGGAAAAAGGATATGGAAAGAGATTTGCAGTGCTAGTCATCATTGATCTAGTTAAGAGGATTTTTAAATCTTTGTAAAAGAAGCGGGGTACATGGTTTGAAATGTGCAGTTGCGTCACGCAACTACATTTTACTTGGCGCAAACCATTTCTAAACTCAAGTAGTACGATTTTGTGGTACAGACATTGCCTTTCCCCAGCTGAGATTAAAGCTTACAGGGCAACCTGAAATATTGATGTGCAACCCCACCCTTTTTGCTCAGAGAAAAAAGGATTTCTTATCCCGATTAACTTTTTTTTTGCTTGGAAAATGGTTTCAGAATCAAATAAACAATTACACACTGGCCTTGGTCTTCATCATGCAAAGATAATGTACTATTGAAGCATTGTAAAATGCTTAAAGCTGTAATACATGTAGAAGTTTTGAATAAAGCATTTTGAAGCCTGGCTTTATCTTTGTACATGGAAATATAAATGTGTTAAAACTAGCATTAAACCAGATAGTGAGTGAGTGAGTGAGTGAGTGAGTGAGTGAGTGAGTGAGTGAGTGAGTGAGTGAGTGAGTGAGTGAGTGAGTGAGTGAGTGAGTGAGTGAGTGAGTGAGTGAGTGAGTGAGTGAGTGATTAATACATGTAATACAATGTACAAGGAGAATAGCAATGTGGTGGCAAATTGTACAAAAACAAAACCATGAAAAGTTTCAGTGTTTACAGTAGAGTCTAAAATGGAGCCTATGTGTTGTTCTGGTACAGAGGGAATAAAGCAATGTCAGTGTAACCTTGGCTGGTTACATTAGTGGCCTGCCTGGATCCCCAGAGTGGGTTTTAATGGCTGGGTGCATTAGGGGAAGCTGCTCTTGTTCTCATCTCTTTATGTACTAATAGGGACAGATCATTGCTAATTGTGTAAGGGGCAGGATAACTCTATGCCCATGAAAATAGTCACTCAACCAAGTGATTTTGAAAACTGTCAGACAGTAGCATCCACTACTTTTTGCCAGATAAAACTAGCCAAATACTTTATTACATGTTCTACAATATCATATGATTCATAATAATGGGGCTTTTATTATCCTGATCAGCAGGTTTGTATATTCTTCAATCAAGCAATCAATCAAAATAAATGGTTTATTGTTCAACAGACCTGGCAGCACTACTTGTAGGATGAATTGCACCCATTGTTACCTCATTTCATGTGCAACTGTGATACTGCAATAAAAAGCATTAAATCATTGGTACTGGCGTTAAAGAATATTGGATGGACACATTTGAAGAAAAACATGGATGATGTAAAAAGGCGTTCGACCAGACACACAAACAATATTTCAAACAAACTAACACATTCTGTTTGTTGTCTTTTTGCAGATGAAAAAAAGACATTTGAGCCTACAGCCTTTCGGGACGAGATTGTGCAAGGTCTTAATGAACAGGGCAACGACCTGGAGGCCATCTCCCGTTATTTAGACAAGCAGGGCAGTCGCCTTGACTACCGGCGCTATGCAGAGACCCTGCTCGATATCCTGATTGCTGGGGGCATGCTAGGTCTGTTACAGTCTAGTTAAAACTCTCTTCTACTACATGTAGTATGATTTTGTTAACAACTGTGATTGTGAATTTTTGTACAGACTTTTTCTTGTGTTGGCAAGATTGGTAAGTTACTTGGAGGCAAAAGTTCCTTCATGTATTATGTAACATTGTTGCACCAAAAACTAATTATAAATGTTTTAATTGAAAAAAATCTGTGTGATTTAAATTTTCTGCCACTTTTCATCATATTTGTGCAGCTATCTCACATTTCTGACTTTTATGGTTGGCACTAAATGTTTAAAATGTTTTTCCCCGATGAAGTTGTACATTACTAAGTTACAAGAACTTTGACTGCAAAAGATTTTTTCTAGAGAGTGAAATGCAAATGTCAGCCAGACCTGGTCCCCTGTACTGGACCTTGTTCCTTGACTGCCTTGCTAGAGTCAGAGTTGGACAACTTGGGTGTAACCACATCAGTTGGGTACATCTATATACACCAACTAACACTGGACGCAACGTGTAGTGCAATTGGTCGAAAAATATTTTACCACAGCACCAATGCATGAAGTATTAATTGTAGTAAACTATTTATTTATGATATATATGAATTAGTATAGAATAGTGTTGAGAATAGGGAAATGTCCAAAGGGAAAATTTAATTTCTTCACGTTGACATGTGTTTCACTATTGTAGCTCCTGGCGGATCGCTGATTGAAGATGCCGACAAGACAAAGCCATGCCGCGTGGACGTGTGTGTGTTTACCACACCGGACGATGTGGCCGCCATGCGTACACAGGCCGAGGTCAGTCTGTACACGTTTATATGATCGTTCTAATTAACGTTAATGATTAATTTCAAAGCACAGTTAACTAAAAGAAGTAACGCGCTGTTGTGTATCTTAATGTAAACAAATGTTTATTCCTTTTTTTTAAGGTTTTTAACAAGCTGATCCGGCGCTACAAGTACCTGGAGAAGAGTTTTGAGGATGAGATGAAGAAGGTATGTAGTGTGATATCCAACTCTTTCTAAAAACCGGAAAATATTATATCGAATTACTCCTACTTTCCCCTGTGTTTATGTAGTATACCTTGTCTGTGCATTATTCCATTTCAGTTTATTCAGGAGGATAGCAGGAAAGTTAATCTGTGTTGGTACAAGTCATTATGAAATAAAGACTACCGGGGTAAACTTTTCTTCTAACACTGGAATGAATTGGGACTTACTCAAAATTTTTGGCTGACTCCTTCAACCTTGTTCACAGCATTCTAGTGTTGGAAGGAAAGTTTAGTCTTCATTTCATAAACCAGGGGGATGCTAACATTTTGCTCTCCCCCTGGCAGGTCCTAATTTTCCTGAAAGGTTTCAGCGACGAGGAACGCGCTCGTCTGGCGACGTTCACGGCCGTGCTGCTCGCGAACCAGCAGGTCACGGCCAACATTCTCCCCAGCCTGTTCCACGAGAACCTGGTCAAGGAAGGTCAGTGTCCAGTCGTCACAGGGTTCCAAATACAGTACGACCACCCAGGGGACCAGGGAAAAGTGGTCTTCCTAGACAAGTGGTCTTCTTATACACAAACCATGACAAGAAGACTAGGCAGAGAACAAAATCACAGCAAAATTGCCACCCATTTTACAACAGACTGTCAAACTGATCCAAAGTGCCCAGCCAGGTGGTCTTTGCGCAATTTTACATTTCACAAAGACTGCCATGCTGTTGAGATCAATTGCAAACTGGCAGATTCCATCAAGATTTTTCGTTATCATAAAAAAGTGTTTGCCTATGATGACCACTTGATGACAGCAGAGATTGGGCCGTGTGTGGTCCCAAATAAAGTGGACACTATTACGTTGGACAAGTGGTGTGCCTAGTAAAGTCCCTTAATGCTTATGTCTATTCGAAAAGAATCGTGACCGAAAAAAGTGGTCGTTATGGATAGGTGACTGGCTTATATAGGTGGTTGCTTGGGTAAGGTGGATGATTTAATGTATCCAGTCTTGAAGTAAAGTACAATGGAAAATCGCATGTACTTAGGCAGAAATTTCAGTCCTCTTTTCTGGGATTGCTTGTTGCAGGCCTTTAATGCGTGATGTTGTGATCAGGAATGATGATGACAAACCTCTTGGATGACCATGAAAAACGTTTGAGAATATCTGACCTGTCAAACACACGCATTTCATCCTGCCAAAGCAAGCAAACTAAAAATTTAATTTTTTCTCAACAAGACTGGTGGAAGTGAAATGCTCTATTAGTCATCTGTCGCTTTGTTTATTTGTTTTTTTCTGCTTTGTTCTTGCAGGGATCGGTCTTGACTTTGCTACCGCTGTGTTCAAGACGTGGCTGTCTGAGAAGGATGTCAATCATCTGATCTCCTGTCTGCGTCGCGCCAACATTGAACAGCGACTGCCGGTCTGTGGGCCCTCTGCTTTATATTTTATTTATTTACCAGTTCAGTTGAAAGTGGTGACGGTCACGGCAGTGCAGATTTCAGAACATAGATATAGTTCAGCTGGGCTCCCTTTTTCATTCTACATGCCCTCAAAGCAAAAGCCTTGTTCTTGAAGCTACATGTAAGGTGTTCTCAAAATTACATGTAAATGTTATGAAAGTTTGTGAAAAATTTCTGTTCAGTGTTTATACCTCCAGTTTAAGCCCAGCATGAATATGATTTTATGAAGTTTGACCAGGAGTTATTGCTAAAAATTCTGTAAAAAAAAACTTCTGTTCCCTGGTTTTACATTTTTGTGGTACTACAATGTGTCCGTTATAATTTGCCATGCCTTGTTTCTTTTATATTTGAAAAAAAAGTTTGACTAAATTCTGTATGTTTTCCCTGCACCTGTAGGAGCTGTTCCCGGCTAACAAACGTTCTCAGGAGCACCTGGAGTCCCATTTCCGTGCAGCTGGTCTCGGGCCAGTCGCTGATTTCCAGGTGCAGCCATCTGTTTAAACTTCAATAGCTGTTTGATGTGTCTGTGTGTGTGTGTGTGTGTGTGTGTGTGTGTGTGTGTGTGAATTTTGTTTGTATGTGTTGCTGCGATTCCCCACAAATACATGGAAATTTGCCATACAGCCAAGCCTGAAGTTGTAAATTTTTCAGATATGGCCACTCCATCTTACTAATCTGTAGCATTTATGAAGATTCCCTGGCAATTACTATGACTTGGTCAGTCAGAAATTCCTTGTACTGTCCTTTGGAAGAATTGCAAGTGTTGTTGCCAGCAGGTCCTGGTTCCTACCAGGTTCCCTCCTTTCTCACTTGCTAGAGGAACTCGGGGTTGTTTGAGGCTGTGTCTTGTACCGAGAGGGCACAGTCATAGATTCCCTGAACAAGTGTTTCAACAGAATGTTGGCAGAACACACTGCACCTGTGCTAAACCACATTCCTGTTGGATGTTTGGTCAATGGTCCAACACAACATTTGAAAATAATGTGTCAGTAACAACATGTTTATTTGTTTGCTTACAGAAGGGACAACAGAATGTGGCGTACAAGAAGGAGCTGCAAAAGAAACTGGCCGACATGATTTCCTCTGAAGACGATGTGAAGGAGGTAAACATAAACAAACATACAAACTTACATAGTAAACAGCTGAACTTTAAGGGCTCAAAGCAACACCTGCACATGCATGTTAGTGCAGACAAATTGTATCTGTCCGTGCACTATCTATATAAACAATGTGTGGATTTTTTAATCAATGTCATGACTGTTCCTACCTGAGAAATGTCAAGTAGATACAGTTGATAACAAGATTATTTATTTGCCTTATGACTTCATTGATTTCTTTATCTGAAAAGTTGTTTTGGTCAGTACAGATCTTGATTAACTTCACTGCTTTTTATCATGTTTTGCATGACTTTTAATAACTATTAGCTTACAAATGGGAAGTTAAAACCAGTACTGTAAATTGTAATGCAATGTTTTCCAAAGTTGGGAAATCTTGTAGGGTTGACCTATCTCCACCAAATGTCATATGTACTATTGGGAGGCTGGCCCATACTTGTTAGATTCCTCACCCTGTCTATCCTGTACTGTACTGTGCTGTTCACACCTGTTCCTTGTTACATTGATGTTTGTATCTCTGCAAGCTGGCCAATGGCATTCCTGCTGTGAGTATCTGTAGTTCCTTCCTCCCTTTAAAGGCATCCAAAGTGATTTCAGGGCAGTAAAATTTCATTGTCAAAGTCATTTTCCTGGTCATTATTTTAATGTAGTAAGTTGAATTTGTGAGTAAAAATGGGACGTCACTGATGGAAAATGTTTTTTTCATATTGAATGCTGGTTCTTAGTGGTACCAAGAAGTAAAGAGAATCCTCACATAGCTTGTGTCAGCGCTATTTTAAATGTTTCAAGTATGGAATGATGAAAATGGAAATGTTTTGAAAGAAATGGCGTTAAATGTCAATTTCAGACAGTTTTTCCTCATCCAGAATGTGTTACTTTTTGCCACCCTGAAATTGCATGGATGCCTTTAAACTAACAACCTGCCAGCTGAGCAACAAATGGCTAAAATGGGGATTTGGAAAAAGCCTTTAAAAAGTTCACAGATGTCTCGGTGGACTTCCAGTGAGAGCGCAGTGATCCAATGGTCTTTCAATGGTTTTCAAAAAGTCTTCCGCTAATGTTTCCATGATCTGGAAGGTCATGGATGAACAGACACCTTGGTAACTTAAAGTGTTGATGTGCATATGATCATGTTGTCCTGTACAGATTGTTGTCTACGTGAAGGATTACATGAAGAAGAACGAGCTGGCAGAGCAGGAGGTGGTGGTGCTGGTGAGTTGCTGACAAGCAATTTTGACATTGTTTTTCAGAAAACTCTGATGCAGAAAATAGGCTTGATAATTGCATTTTGAAATAGTTTTTGAGAAAACAGTAATGCAGAATATAGCCAAGATAGTTAAATGTAAGGAAGTGTGTGTTACAACTACATTTCTTGGTGTTTTTGGTTCAAAGATGATGTTTTAGGTGTTAAACCGGTCTGAGCTGTTATTGTAAGGAAATGATAAAATAAGTCGAGCTGATATTTTTGTAAATTTTGTGATTTTTCCTCCAATCCCAGGTGTGGAACTCTGTCATGAAGTCTGTGGAGTGGAACAAGAAGGAGGATCTGGTGGCAGAACAGGCCATCCGGCTCCTGAAGGTGGGGATACTGTCTGGTAGTACTTGTTATTGACAGTCATTGTCTGTGCTGCTTCAAGTAATATCTTGCCATGTCCTCTGTGACTGTGTATGTGTTTGTGTGTATTATACAAGTATATGCAAGTTATGGCAAAGTGCTCACTGTTAGAGAATGAGGAGAGTGCTATATTGAAATATATAGTGAATGAAATGATAGGACGGAGATCCCGTGTTTGGGTGAGAGCCACACCTTTTCAAAAAAGAGTAGGGGCATGCCCCGGTGTGACAGTCCTGATATTACTAACTGGAAGTTGCTGATTCACTACAAATCGCCTGGATGGAGACCTGACGAACCCCCGTCTCGTACTAGCCACATGGTGATGTAGATCATTCCCCTGACGGAGACCTGTATTTCTGCTTTGGTCCTGTGTGTGAGTGTCCATGCTTGCAGTTTCATCTTGTGATCATATCTAACCTCCTTCCCCCCCCCCCAGGCCTACGCCCCCCTGCTGGCAGCCTTCACCACCCAGGGGCGCTCGGAGCTGGACCTTCTGGTCAAGATACAGAACTACTGCTACGACAACATCCAGTTCATGAAGGTGTTCAACAAAATACTCGTCCTCTTTTACAAAGGTGAGCAGAATTTCAGCTGCACAACTGTCATTAGGTTGTTGCTTGGCATAAGAAGAATAATTTATCAGGTTGGTGAATGACTGATTAGCAAAGTTCCTTATTCACAACCACTTATTTAACAAGAGCTGATGTTTATATGACTGTCTGTCATCTTCATGTGTGAAAAATTGAAGAAATGCAACATATATTACATGTAGACATTAATTCTACATTTTGTCTTTACCCAGATTTTGCAGTGCCAGTGAAATGTTTGTTTACCATAGGACAGACACCTTTGATGCTACATGGCGCAAACAATGCTCTTCTTTCATATCTCATCTTTACAACTCCTCAAATAACATCATCCAATCTGTTCTCAAATCCGATGTAATTTTCTGCAACAGATTCTTCCGAGTCTGTCTGTACTCAGTCATATTTTTAACTGTTACTGTGTGCATTTCTATTTCTATGCATTCTTTTATATGGGCCATGGATGCCTGAAATAAAGAATAAATAAAAAAGTATTTAACACAACACTGTTGTTTGTTGTTTCAGCGGATGTTTTGAGTGAGGACGCCATTCTGAAGTGGCACAAGGACGGCCACTCCTCCAAAGGCAGGTCTGTGTTCCTGGAGCAGACCAAGCAGTTAGTGGAGTGGCTCCAGAGCGCAGAGGAAGGTGGGTTGAGTTAGCATGCTGTCATAAGAACATACTGCAAAACCCAGGTTTTTCGCTGGATGTTTGGTCAATGTTGCATCACAATTTTGCCGGTTGTAGATATCTTTTCTTCCGCATTTGAAAACTAGAGACGTGATGCTCCCTTCACTGCATGAATAGTAAGACCTGAAACAAGACATTCTGCCGGAGTGTCCTTAAGAAGAACTGCAAGTGTTGTTGCCAGCAGGTCCTGGTTCCTACCAGGTTCCCTCCTTTCTCACTTGCTAGAGGAACTTGGGGTTGTTTGAGGCTGTGTCTTGTACCGAGAGGGCACAGTCATAGATTCCCTGAACATATGTTTCCAAGGCATAAAATTTGAGAATGAAACATTAAAAATTTATGACGAAGAGGGTGTTTCTAACTGATAAGGGAAATAATTATGGTATAGAAAACAGCCATCATCTGTCATTTACTGTTACATAATTTTGAATACAGAGGAATTCTAATGGATGTTAAATTTGCTTCATGTTCCTTCAAAATGTAACTCTTGTTCTGTTTTTACCCCGCAGAATCAGAGGAGGAAGACGAAGACTAAAGCCCACCTAGTGTAACCCAGCACACCTGTAGAACCTGGGTCCACCTGTTTTACCTGGGCACACCTGTCTGTCCACCTGGACACGCTTGTCTGTCCAGCTGTCTTGGTGCTCCATGTGCAGTAGTGTGGGTGTACGGGGGGGATTTTAAAGACTCAGTGGGTTAAGGGGGGTGTAATAATTTCAATTTTGTTCACTTGTCCATTGTCTTAATTAATGGTCTCCCCAGTATTTGTGAAGACGTGGAAGACATATAATAAAGATATGCACACTGCCTTAGTTTCTGTTGTTTTATCTGCCTTGTTAGTACAGGTTAGTGTATCTGTATCAATATAGCCGGTATAACCACCCTTCGGCATAACACACCAGCTTCACAGGCATGCAGCGCGGCAGCAGCTAGCTATATCACACCGAACGACCTGTTACACTCAATCTTTGCACATTTAATTGCAGGAGCTGTTTAAAGCTTTCTAGTGATGATGCCCCAACTGTGCTTGGTGGCAACGAGTTCCAGTCTACGATAGGAAATACAAGTTTTTGAACACCTCAATTCCTGGTTGATAACTCTGATATTTGAAGGCATGACTGTTTCTAGTTCTTTTCTGGGCTGGTATGAGATACTTAGTGGTTGGTATGTCCACCAGTTTATTAGTCATTTTGTACATCATGCACAGTCTGGACATTCTTCGTCTGTCTTCCAGCGACCCCCAAAGGTGTCTTTTCATTTGTTACACTAGCACCCCTTTCATAGCGTGGTGCTTAATCAAGTACAGGTACTGTAGGTGGTGTATATTATCATAGTAAGTACATGTAAAGACTACCCCTGAGGACAAATCGGTCTGTACTAAACCACACATCACTAAATTCTGCAAATCATGTCTGAAACTTTAAGATGATAACTTCATCAAATAACTAAAGGGGTATCTTAACCAGAAAGAACAATTTCTTTCTTCCTACCATTTTCAACTTTAAACTACTTTGAATCAAAGATAATGACGTTAATCAAGTATTGAAGTATCCCAGTCAACTTGTGGCTTGCAGGACATGGAATTGCAAACTTCTAGAGCCATGTTGTTGTATGTGATAATGTCCTTCTACATTCACCTATACTGTAGGAAAATATGACTAACAAGACCACCACAACAATAAAATTTACGAGAATCCTCTTTATTGTATTTACAGCAGGTAATGAGTTATCTATATATACAACAAGATCCAGCTCCCTGTCAGGACTCTCCTCCAAATATCTCTGCTGTGCTGGGCGGCTGTTTGGGTGCCACACAGGCAGACACGTAGTTTGTCTCAGGACGGGAGGGAATGGTGGGGTGCGGGGACTTCTTCGTCTTAAAGTACTCTGACGGGGCGTGGCAGACAAACTCCACACAGTCCATCAGGCGGGGAAGCTCCTCCTCTGGACCTGGAAAAAAGATGAAATAGGAAATCAAAGACCTCACACCTCTCTGTGGAATATGTAGAGTATTTGTGAATATCTTTTGAGGAAGCAGTATGTACCATTTTTAAAAGTCTTTGAATTGAGTTGGATGTGGATCGAACTCTCTGTCCCTTAGGAAAGTTTTCCTCTATGCAGAAAAAGGTATTTCAAGCCCTGCCTTAAAACTTACTACTGAAGGTGGTGACTAACCGAGGATGTATGTAGCAGGGTCAAAGTGGTCCCGGGGGCTGGCCTGGGTGGGTAACAACCAGGTGATGACCACACTCTTCTCACAGTACTGGTCCTGCATGAAACCCTTGATCTGTGCATAGTAGATCCCTCCATCATGGTCCATAAGGGACACTATGTCTCCCATCTGGTAGTAGATGCCCTGTCAACAATAACAAAGAGGATGGGAAGTGTAAACAGCAGCAAGCAGGATTGTAAACAACAACATTGTACAAAAGTGATAATGTCATGTGCACACGAGGAACAAATGCAGCATTACCAGTACTTTATTGCAGTGTGTAGTATCTATTTCTAATACTACCCAAGACCAGCTAATGAAAATCATCACATAACTGTTGTATCTCACCTTGTAGAAAAAGCATTCACTGGTCACTATGGTGGATACTGCTGCTGGGGCCTTCAGTGGCTGTAGGGGGGAACAACGTTTCAGAGTTACTGTAAACTCATTTATTTTCATGGGGGCTTAATTTTGCAGTAGAGGGGGATATGTTTTTGCTATCTTTTAAGTTTGTGTTTGAAACGGTTTTGTAGTACAGTGGAAGATTATAACGTTATAATGAGATGTCAGATCAGTAGAAAAGAATGAAAGTACTCGCACTAGCCCACTACTAAGGTGGGGAGGGCGGTAGAACGTACTTGCACTAGCCTACGTCTACGTTGGGGAGGGGGCAGAAATTATGTACTCTCACTAGCCCACTACTAAGGTGGGGAGGGGGGTAACAAGTACTTGCACTTAGCCTACTTACTACGGGGAGGGGGATTAGAAAGT